CGATCATGACAAAGCAAATGCATCTTTTGGCGAGAATACTGTCGATTTGCAGAAAGTCTGCTCCGGTCATGGTCGCCACGCGACATGCGTGGGATGAAACGGCTCAAGATATTCAAGTGCAGCTGGATGATCAGCAAGGACCATCCAGGGGCACTTGGAAGGTGATGGTTCAGAAGTTGAAGATAACGATCAAATGGACACATTGCTCCTTCCTGATGGATTTGGTAGGGATCTTAGTTGTTTGCAGCTTGCTGCTGTTCAACCCAAGGAACAAATTGACGGAAAAAACCATAGGCTCCAGGCAATAATAGGCAGCCCACAGCGATAAATTCCAAGCACTATCGGGATCCTGTAAGCAATAAGGCAGGTGTCAAAAGTGTTAAGTGTTTGAAGACAGTGTAACTTCATTTGAATGAATAATGGACAGTTGTTCGACAACTAAGAATTGCATGCTTGAGGTGATGCCGCCGATTCTTTTGGTTTCAGACTCTGCTGAAAACCTTTTCTATGGAATGTTCAATCATCCTTTCTTTGTGGGCATCCGCAGTGTATTGCAAGCCATTCGGGAAACAGCCTCCGACCATGTCACCCTCTTTGAGCTTGATGGTGCGACGGGGAACGAACGTCTATTCAACTACTTCTTGTCCATCGGAAGTCCTGGGAAACTGATAGACATGATCAAGTGCCGAAACCATCAAACCAATCTCATTGAGGGAACCTTGCTGATGGCTTCCAATCTTCCATCTCGCAACATGTTGTCAATGTTTTTCAGCCTGACTCACTTTCTTCGAAATGGTGGGCAGTTTGTGCGCTTGAAGCAAGCTGCACTACAGTGGGTTGCTGACTCAGCTACTGTTCTGAGAAATACCTGCCGAGATCCTGATGAAGAACGACTCCGAGTAGAACATGCGTGCGAGCTGAGAGATTTTTTGGAGTGCACAGATCGGCTTAGGAAAAGCATCGAATCCAAATCCAAGAGTAAATCTGGAGAGGAGCACGACTATACACAATCTGAATTGCAACGGAGACTGGATGATTTTTTTGCCACTTGGACCAATATGTTAATGTGTTCCCTCTTCTTTGTAGTGAGGCATGTGAATGTAATGTGGAAACATTAGAAATTAGATGATTAGATAAGAATGGTTTGAGGCTAAAGCACGGCGTGAAGAAGTGTTTCCAGCGACTTGCTATGAGTTGTAGGAATTAATGGCGTACCAATAGATTGATGTTATGATAATCGTGATAAAGCAATACTATATATTACATACAAATTACTGTAGAAAGTACTGTATGAACCAAACTGAGGCGATGTGGAACGGAGACCTGCGGGCAAATGGTCCTTGCCACTATTGCTCCGGCTCTGGCTGCTGCTCAAGCCCGGATGAAGCGCTTTCAAAACTAGGCTAGGTGGCCATGGTTGACAGCTTTCTGAGACAGCTAAGAGTTTTTCTTTTTAGTCTCATTCTTTTGAATGAAAAACATGTTTTGTATAGCCAGGGCCACAGTGCCATAGGCTAGTCTAGGTTATATATATATATATATATATTAATTTATTTATATCAATATCCGCCTATATAGCTGATACTTATGGCCTGTAGCCATCTCCACTGAAACACCTGCCCTGCACAGGATCCACCTTCGAGAAGCTGGCCCTAGCTACTCAACCTGAGGTACCTGCACCTGGCAAATGGACCAAGCTGGGCTCAGTCCTGTCATTTTTGCTTTTTGGTTCACATTGCTGCCACTATTTGGAGAAGTCATTCAAGGCTTCACTTGATAGCATGCCAGTTCGGCAAACTTCAGTGAAAAAGGGAGATGAGGCGGAAGACATTGATCCAGCCTTGAATTCTGACTTGCATTGGTCAGAGGTGCATGGTAAAAGATCCCGCAATGGTCTTGCTGTGACGGGGTTGCCAGAGGTGAGGTTCCAGGTTTTGGTTCTGGCTATACTTCAAGAAGTCACTCGCTACCTTACAAATTGGCATTTGGATGCAAATGGACGGCAGAATCGAAATTCAACACATGCTCCACCTTTGCTGGATGTTGTCAACCCTCGTTTCAGCCCCTATGTCATGCTCGTGCAGTACCTCAGCTCCTTGCTTATCAACAAGCTTGGCAGAGCGCTATTGGTATGTCCTGGGTTCAAACGTGTTGCTGAATGGGAGGCGCACAATCTTGAACAAGTGCGAATTTTTCGCCGCTTGGTAATGCTGACCTCGGCGTGGATTTTTCGACGGCACCTTCTGTTTGCGGCGGAGGCACCATTCTCCACTTGCGTGTCTCGTTGGCATCACTTCTACTTCTAGCAGTTCAGTTATTGTTAGATCTATCCATGATTCATGATGAATTAGGCTTGACATATTATTGATCATAGCATGAACATACTATAAGACTATAGACTATAAATATATATATATATATTATATATATATGTCTTTGCCCTTAACTTCTGCAGTCACCACACTTGAAATTTTGCTTTGGATGGCCTTTGACACTCATTTCAGGTCCTTCTTGATTCACGCGCAACAGCTGATGTGCAGTCAAAAGCACGTGAGCAATGGAATTCTCTGAACCCTTGCTGTGCTCGACCTGGAATGGCACGACAATTGAGGACACTGGGAATTTCGAGTGATTCATTGGCCTTGCCTGAGCATAGAGCCAAATTGGAAGCCCTTGCTACTTCTGGGCACTTGACTGTAGCTGATTGCGAATTGCGACACGCCAGAAACCGACAGCAAGTGGCAACCAACGGAAGAACAAAGTACCCCAACTTTTGTGTGAGCTCTATCTTGGATGAAGCACAGCTTTTCCAGAAACAGTCCATTGCTGGAGCACGGAAACAGTTTGCACAGGTGACTAGGATTGTCATACAACCTTTTGCTTTTGCTGCTTTTGTCCTGGATAATGAGAACAACTCACAATTGACAATTGACAATAGTTGGTAGTAATTGCTTTTGTTATTGTACAACCCAAGATTTAATATATATTTTTTAATAACAATAATACCATATACACTAACACCGTATGTTCGTGTAATTATGTCTTCCTGTCTTTGGTAACCTTAGGCAAAAAAAGCTTCCGCCAAGTGCAACAGCTTGGAAGTGATTAGACAGAATACATAATTACCACAATAAAAACCTCAATCAATTACGGATGCAGTTGCTTTACTCTTGAGCTATTGGCCACTGGGAGCACTGACTCAGGCTATTGGGGACAACCAGGAAGCACAAGAAGGTGCCAAATCCAAGTCTCTTGTGCGTATGACACCTTTGCACCTGTTCAGGAAGGATTACATTTCTCAGAATCGTCAGGAGCGATCAAATTGGTGCACTGCTGAAGCATGGTCTGAAGTCAAATCTGCATTTGCTGCCCTAGATCCGCCGTTGCGTGCACGCTACAGCAAACAATGCGGATTTCACAGGGAGATGGCCGCACACCAGAAACAATTGGAAGATTTGCGACCTGATACAGATACAGGATCTGGCGCTGACATCATAGCCTTATCTGGAAGACCTGTTCAGTGTGTCCAAAGCCAATCATCTCAGGGTCAGTTGCAAGTGCCGCAACCAATGGTTGAAGGCCTTGAGAAACCGAGCCCTATCTTTGGAAATTTGCTGCCTGCTGGTTTTGATGAACTGACGAAGGCTTTCGACAGTCTGGAAAAACTGCAGCCAGCGGTACTGATGACTATGAGACAGTTTCCTCCAGAGCAAGAAGTACACTGGCCTGTACAAGAGTCGAATGTTCTATCAGCCTTGGTGTCATCACGGGTGAACTGTGGTAGCCTTCAGGTGGCTGTCAAGGAATTTAGCAAAGCGTTGTCAAATGATAGCTGGTCCTGAAGGTTGTGCAGGCGGTGCCTTTCCTGACAAGGTCCAGATACATGGCAAGTGTGGAGAAATGTGCATGCTCGAGACCACTGCATTTGAGCGCCTCTTGCTTGAGAAGATTGTGAAAGGACTGGCAACATTTGTGAGCTCTGGAACGCCAACGAAAATGGTCCAGTCGGACATTCTCATTGCAATCCAGACCACCCACAGCGATGGCATGGAGTCATTCAAATATTGTTTCATCTCAGGCATATCTTCAAAGGGTGGCTTCAACAAACCTGATGCTGTGCATGTTTCTTGCCGTTGTTTGAATGAGAGCACGTCTTCCGATCACTTCGAATCTCAGGTTCACAGTGGCAGTATTTATTGCATGTTTATCTTCAGCATTAACCCCTGCAAATTGTTTTGATTTGTTGTGCAGTCATTAGCCGTACCAGTGACTACTGAAAGAAGTCATGGGCAGGACGCTAGGGTCAGAGTCTCCAAAATAGCTATCATAGACTATAGACTATAGACTATACTATAGACAAAAAAATAATGACTATATAGTAGCTGAGCACCAACATGATATTTATATACCATTACCGTCAAATTAAGTGTCTTCTTGCTTGCATTAAACCAATCAATCTTAGGATGGGGTGCTGCTTGAACTGGAGATGGAAATGGCTGTTGAACAATGCGAGGACATCTTGGCATCACCGTTCAATCAAGGGAAAGGATTTGGAGCTCTGCGAATGCAGACTAGGCAGCAGCTTGCGAAATCTCTACTTGTTCCTGCAGTGGCGGATGTCTTCGGCGACATGACTGGAAGCTCGGACGTGATAAGTAAATTGAATTCATGTGGCTTACCTAGCCATAGTCCATAGTAAAACTGTTTCTTTGCTTTTTGTTCTAGATTCTAGTCAGAGTCTCGAGATTTTTGTCTTGGAATTTAACTCAGAGTCATAGTCTTAGCAGTATAGTCTATAGTCTATAGTTGTATGACAATCTTACGAGTGGGTGAATGACACGATCTGGTACTAAGCTACAGGCTACAGGTGGATGTACTTTTGTTTTTCAGTCTGGTGTTGGCTTACATTTCCTTTGCCTAGCAAAGGAGCTTCAAAACCAAAGCAGATATTGATGCGCTGCCTTCAATTTCAGGATGTTTCACTCTTGAGGTTGAGAACCATGGGAAAGAGAGGCGATATTGCAGATGTTATCATTGACCTTACCGTGGCAGATGCCACTCCCGATGAGATGAGTGCCAGTGCTCAAATTGCTCTATGTGATGGTCATGGTGATATTGCTGGCGAAGAAGCTGCGGGTGGTGGTGGTGTTGATTTCTTGTCATTTGGGGATGATCTGGAATTGCCTTCTGCAGATGATAGACAGCAGCATCGCCCTCGCAAGAGAATGAGAAGGGACTCTCCAACAACCACTTTGTTACCGGAGGTGTTGAAAGCTTTGAACAATGATAGCCTGAGTGGTGATGTTGGTGCACGAGGAGAACTACGGCTAGAAGACTTTGCCGGAATCTTCGACGAGTCTGAAACAGCATCATTGCAGCACATCTTAACTACTGCTGCCAATGCATCACATGAACCATCTTCGTCTTCCTCCAGCAAGGGACCAAACCACACCAGCAGTCAACCTGCTGACCCTGCGTTTGATGCTGGAGATGAGGAAGAGGAGCAAGTCGCTTGGTTTGATTTCATTGTTCACTGTATGTTGATGACAGGCTGACAGGTTCAGTTGTCAGTGGTTGGTTTAGCGGGAGGGAACAAAGCCTGGCCAATTGCCATTCAATAGCCTGAATTTGTAGCCTGTAGACTTAGCCAAACTAGTAGTCAAGTTCTACACCAAGAGATGATTCTGATCGGTTCTACGATATATGATATGATGATATGACAATTATTGTTATACTATAAAAATAACATATAACATATGTATATAAATTGTGATTATGATTCATGATTCATTGATGAACAACCAGGTCGTGCGGCAAGAGAGATTTGAGCTGGAGGTCGAGGGGGTGAATTTCAGTGAGCTGACCAAACACATTTCTATCGTTCCGGTTCAGAATCCTTTGGCCCAGTCGGAAAGCAGCAGAAATCGAAGCACACCGTCAACTGAAGCAAACTCCTCCGTTCTGGAGAGAAACGCTCTCTACCTCAATATGATGCCCAGGTACGAGTTTACTCATCAGTCTACAACTGCTTTGGTTGAATTCACCAGCTGTATGTCTGGCGGTATCATTGCTTATGTGTACTCATCTGTTTGCAAAACTCAGCTTCTTGGTCACGTGAAAGTCAACGAACGACTTCAGGATGCAAAGAGTTTGCAAGCTGTTTGCAAGATGCATAAGCCCAGCGGCCAGTGCAGCTGTTGGGTAAGTTGTAAAGCTCACGAGACAAAACAGCAGGTTATGGTTGATCTTCTCAAGTGGTTCATTGATGGCATAGGCAAAGACAAGAAACATCACCAGCAAAGCAGTGTTGATGTGCGTGTCTCACATGGGATGAGGGTCAGAAGCGTGCGCGCTTGAAAGGGAAAGGGGTGCGATGTAGTTTGCTGTTGTTTGCTTTTTCTCCCGTCAGTTTCTACATCATTCTATAACAGTGGCCGTGGCAGTGCAATTGCTAGTGCTTTCAATAGGTAAGACTTCAGGATCCTGCTCAGCAAGTACTTGTGTGGAGGGTAGGGTTTCCATTGAAAGGAAGAGTAACCACTGAGGAAGCATTTGCATGCATTTGCCATGTCGCTAAACATAGAACTGGATGTCTCAGTATTGGCAGCCAAAGGACAACCCAATCCAACCCGACTACAAAGCACAGTTTTGGAGTGTGGCAAAAGGTGTGGCAAAGCAGTTTTGCCACAACTTTTGCCACAGATTTCTATCGTTGAAACACCTGCAAAAACCATTGTTTTGGAGGGTGGCAAAGGGTGTGGCAAAGCAGTTTTGCCACAACTTTTGCCACAGATTTCTATCGTTGGAACACCTGCAAAAACCATTGTTTTGGAGGTGGCAAAGGGTGTGGCAAAGCAGTTTTGCCACAACTTTTGCCACAGATTTCTATCGTTGGAACACCTGCAAAACCCATTGTTTTGGAGTGTGGCAAAGGGTGTGGCAAAGCCAGTTTGCCACAACTGTTGCCAAAAAATGTCATCGTTGGGACAATCGTTGGAATACCGTTTTTTCATGGAGTTTAACGTGGGACAACGATTTTCGAACGATTGGCCAAACGATAGATATCTGTGGCAAAAGTTGTGGCAAAACGGCCTTGCCACACCCTTTGCCACACTCCAAAACCATTGTTTTTGTAGGTGTTCCAACGATGGAAATCTGTGGCAAAAGTTGTGGCAAAACTGCTTTGCCACACCCTTTGCCACCTCCAAAACAATGGTTTTTGCAGGTGTTCCAACGATAGAAATCTGTGGCAAAAGTTGTGGCAAAACTGCTGTGCCACACCCTTTGCCACCCTCCAAAACAATGGTTTTTGCAGGTGTTCCAACGATAGAAATCTGTGGCAAAAGTTGTGGCAAAACTGCTTTGCCACACTCCAAGCTTTGCGCTCTACTGTCAGATTGGGTTGTCTCCTGCTGTGATTATCAAAGAGGTGTGGTTTTTGTTTTCGACAACAAACAGTTCACAAGGCAAAGCTTTTGTCGTTTGTTGAGGTGTTGGAATCAGATGTGGCGTGATTTTGGGATGCATAATCTTTTTGTGAGCACAATTGAGTCACAAGATGGCTAGCATTCATGGTATCGGTATGCCGCTATGCCTCAGTGTTTTGGTTCTGTTCTTAGAGCAAGACTGACTTGTTTGGCTGTGTGAGATCTCCTGAGTTTCAGAATGGATCTCTCGCCATCGCCTAAATCATCTCCTCCCAAGACACCGCCAAAGCGAGTGTCTACGAAGGGCAAGGAGTCGCCTTTGTCGGCTGGGGGGGGCTTCGTCTACTGCTGCCTCTTCTCCGGTCACAAGAGATGCGCTTCGGCGATTGAAGAATTTCCACATTTCGGATGTTCCTTCTTCTCCCGCCACCAATTGCACATCGACGACTCTTCCTTTGCCAGGATTGAGCCCGATCAAGACACCTTCTCCTATGAAGCCTTCTTCTGATCCTACTTCACCTGCACCAGCCGAGACCGTATGGGCAGACCTCAAAAGCATGGCCCCTGAAGATATGTCGGATGTGGAACAAAGCCTGGATCAGCGCTTGGAGGCAAGGCTTGACAAGATTGACTCAGACTGGGTGGACATGAAGCATCACAATGCTTCATACTTTGAGCCACCTTCACTTGGAAAGCCGGGATATTTGAATCAGGAAATGGAACGCTGGGGGTGGAAGAAAATCAAAGGTCGTTGGCAAAAGGCTTTCACCATTGTGGCTCCTCCAACGGCATCCAAGCCTGCATCTGGTGCAAAACCTTCCAGTTCTTCTCATGGAAAGTTGAAGAAGAGGCCGGCTGCAGCACCCAAGACGAAAATTCAGAAGGGACCAAAGAGTTTGAAGAAGCCAGCATCTCAGCAGAAAGACCAGAAGAAGCTTTCCGTGCGCAAGGTCTTGAAGAAGCCCGCAGGCAAAGCGTGGTCTCACCCTCCTCCTTCCACTCTGAAGGCAATTGATGGCCAGTCCATGTTTCTCGCGAGCGACAAGGCCGAAGCTCATGATGACTGGGTGGACGCCAAGGAGCACAACAAGAAATTCCAAGTTGGCATCGAACCGTTTGAGGTGTTGCTTGCAAAAGCATTAGTTTCGCACACTACTTCCCAGCATGAAACATATGATATGATATGCAAGCAATAGACAGGGTACAGTAGAGGGGAAGGGATCAATGATCAGGAAGTGGATTCTTTCGTGACAAAGCCATAGTCAGCCATTCATTCTTCAAACGAGACATATGGCTCCCAGAATAAACGTCTACCGTCTACTGTAATATGATTGTAGTTTTATCAATATTGTTATAGTTATAGTCTAGTTATAGTCATAGTGATTTGTTAAATATCAAAAGGAAGAACTATGCTATGGGCTATGGTCAAAGTCGTGAGATGGACTTGGGAAATGCTGAGGTTTCTCAAGGACTGCTTGATCGAGAAGGGGTGGAAAATGGTGAACTATCGTGGAGAGCTGCGCTGGAAGCTCGAGTATGACCTTGGCCCAGCTGCTGAGAAGTGAGAGAGTTGCGGGCGTTGAGGTTCCTGGTTTTAGGGCTGGGTGAGGGAAGCGAGCGCTTTTTTCAAGTAGAGCATGGCGCGTGGTCTGCAAGCCGGAAGTGAACTCAGTCAGACTGTTCGCTGTGTACGTGTTCTAACCACCGCACCACTCAAAATATGCTTAAAAATATTGAATATACGACTCATTTCGTTTTTGCCATCTGGTTGTTGGTTCTATATGCAGTGTTGTTGTTGATGATGCGAGCAGTGGAATTGGTGAAGCGACCGTGCCACAAAGCTTTCAGAATTGCGACAGTACCTCACTCACAAGCAATTTGCTTAACTAGGACCTCTCTGTTTGAACGCTGCTTCAAGCGCGGTAGGTTGGGAAGGAATGGATAGGCTTTCTGTTTTGATTTTGGTTGGCTGTGTACTGAGATTAGTACGCATTTGGAGCCAACATGAAAGAGATCCAAATTCAAATCCCTTGGCTGCGGTTCAATGGCGCACTTCCAGGCAGCGCACAGAATATGACATGTCTGGGTGTCGACAATTTTCAGCCAACTGGATCCATGATCGACTTGCTAAAGGTTGCTCAAAAAGAGCTGGTCAACCCCTTGCCCTGCAGTGCTGTTCCGTTTTGAAACCCTCTCCTATTATAGTCATGACTCATGGTCGTGCTTGTGCCAATACATGCCTCTTTCTTCGAGTTGCCCATTTCAAGAGGTAGCAGCACCTGTAGCCTATTTGGCTCCACTTCCAGCCAAGAACTTTGTGATTCTCACTTCTTTCGCGAAGATGGCTTGCTGTAAGTACTGCAAGCGTACGAGAAATGATCCAAACCCGTGGTTGCCGCCAGACTTGCGTGAAACTTCTGACAAGCCCAACCTGATTTTCAGACGGGACAGGGGACGTGAGTGCTCAAGCTGCTTGGGTATGTTCAGGTGCTTCAACAAACCGCAGTACCAAAACACGGCTATTCTTGAGGACAAGTTGAACAATGACCCTGATGTCAAGAAGGAGTTTGACGCAGACCTGGAAATCTTTGAAGAGAAAAAGCGCAAGGAAGCTCTCACAAGGGCTACCAAAACCTCTCGCAAGCGTATCGAAGGTCAGCAGGCTAGTGGCTTCAGAATGCGCATGGTCACAGGCTACTTCTGGCCCTTGGATGTGATCAAACGGGAGGGCAAAGCCAAGCCGAAGAAATTGACTTCAATCAATTTCAATGGCAAAAATCTTCGTGGTGCTATCTTTGATGAGTCGCATGGCAAGCCCATAGGCTGTATCGAGATGGAAAGCTATGAAGACAAGAATGCCACGAAGGTTTGGACTGACATTGGATTGGGAATTCAAAACCGGTAGGTATATGGTATACGGTATACGGTGTGCGCAAAAAACAGTCATATTTAGCATCTTGCTCGTCAATGTTTCTGTTTGTAGACTATAAACTCTGTCTATATAGTTTAGTATTACTATATATATGTGTGACTATGACTCATACTATGACTATTTACATATATATATATTATTAACTAAATAATATATATTATATATTATAATAGGTAGTACTATTATTATTGTTGTTACTATAAAATAGGCTATAGGCTATAGCGGCTATAGGGTCTATAACTGTCTATGTTCTCTACACACATCTACACTATGCTGTACACTGTACCTAAACTACGCCATCGTGCCCCGTGAAGGTAGCCACCATCAAGGGAGATGCTGATTGTGATGACCCAGAAGAGCTAGATAACATTTGGGGACAAATTCAAGATCGCCTCTCTCTAAACTCCGTGGCTGCCAACGACGCGGGTGAGGTTGGCATGAAATGGTGTAGCACCAGCAAGACTCAGGAGGAAGACGTGAACATGAGCTTCCTCGATGACATTTGGGGGACTGCGCTGCCAAGCTCAACTTGCAGGGGATCCAAGCGGCATGCCTTGGAAGATGGTTCTGATGGTGAGGCTGAGTCTGAAGCAAAAAAACGTCGCCACAACAGCAGCGGTGAAGACACCCAGGAAAAGCCAGAGAAACCAGAGAAGGTTGAGAAACCCAACAAGAGACGCCAGGGCCCTGAGACTGGGAAGCAAACCGGTGCGGCTACTCTGGTGAGGGTCTTGAATGGATGTGATTCGCTTGCGCTGGAAGCTAGGCAAAACTTGGACCTTCTGGCAGAAGAGGACACAATGAGATCAATTGGCAGTGCAGCCATCAGCAAGCTTCTTGACAAGATCGCGAGCAAGCTCACCACTGATTCAATCGCCTACCTGACCGAACATTGGGAGACGGGCCAACCATTGAATCGAGGTTGCCATGTAGTCGAGAAATTGAAATCTCTGCACGAGGGAATCGAGCTGGCTCATCCAGTGGTTCTGGCATTGCAAGCGAGGAGTGGAACAAAGGACGGGTGTGTTTCACATAACCTTTGGTTAGTTATGGGAATGGAATTGAATGGAACTACCGGGCAACACAGTGGCAAATACAAATACAGAGCCACTAACAGTCACTAACAGCCAAGAACTTCAATCAAGGTACAACACGTTTTGATTGTTTCCTATATAAGCAGTAGTATGATTTAATCACGATCTATATATATATATATATCTGTATCTAATATTAATGTGTATGTATCAATTATATTCAATTATCATTGTCATCAATTATCATTTTTTGCTGGCGCAAGGAATATTGTCCCGAAGCTCTGGATAAAGCTGTGTCTGCTCTTGAGAAGCATGTCAAGATTGCCTCCGGTGTTCGCCATACTGTCTTCTTGTGCACAGTCGGAGAACATCAAGATGCAGGAGATTGGGAGCAGTGGCAAGCTTCAATGGAGGCAGGTCACCCTATGATCAAAGAGGATGAAATGGTTGACCTTCGCTCCACATGCGTCGTGAAGTGTGTCCAACACATCCTGGGGAATGCGCCAGATACTCCACAGCAAGCCAGCGAGTCATGGGCTGCCCTTTGCTCCCTTCTTACAACCATTGCACAAACTACATGGCATGAGAAATTGCCTGAGCATCTTCGTGTCGATTTGGAAGGGATCAAGAGCTTGACAGTCGTAGGGTCCAAGATGCACCACTCTTCCAATGCAGAACTGCAGGAGGCAGAGAAGTACAAGAATGAGATCAGCAAATCAAAGTCCTTCTCACGTTTGCTATCCCAATCTACTTCTGGCACACGCTTGGCAAGTGCAGTGCTTGATGTCTCTGCTGCTTGCAAGGCAGAAGGGGGATGGAAAGAAGATCTTGAGCAGGCTTTGCAGATTGCTTCGGGCGTGTCGGAATTTGAACCTTCTCTATTGCTCACAGATGAGTTTGAAGTCCGCATTCCGAGAGCTTCTTTGATCGCTGACATGTCCAACAAGCTAGGCCTACTTTTGCAACAGAGCACGGACAAATTTCAATCAGAATCGGCCAAAGACATCCAGAAGGTGAAGGACTTCCAGCTTGGCACAGCCCTTTCCATCAAAAAGGCATTGCTGCAAAGGATGTTTGGAAAGGTTCCATCACTGCATGATGCCTTGAGATTCTGTGCCACTGCCCATGATGCGAGCACAGATGTGATAGGCAAGTGTGACGAACACATCGCTGCAATCACATCTGCGAAGAAATTGTGTTCTTCAGTGAAGTCAGCTGTCAGCAAGACCGTCGGCGCTGATCTTGGGTCTTCCTTGAATGAGGCAATGTCGCAATGCTCCTTGCTTCTGGATTCCATGGCAGGCTTTTGCACATGGCATTCAGACTTCAGTGCCTTCGCAGCTTTAGTGACGTGTTACATGTTAGTTGTCCAGGTCCAGGGCTGTTGTCCTGTTCAGTTTCATTTTTGTCAAGTCCTTTGCTGCCTGTGTGCTGTGATGATGAAATGGGAACTGACAACAAACTACTTGGGTTGGATAGAGGGCAACTTACTGTTTGTTGACAGGGGGAACAACAAGAACTGAACCAAACATAATCTTTGAGAACGTATCATACAAGTCAGGAAAATCCGGCACAGACAACGTCTCGGCATTCATGTCCAGTGCTCTCCCTCAAATGCTGAAGTTCCTCATGAATGACAAGTCGAATACTTCTCCCAGTGTGGGCATTGTCTTCTTTGAAGAGCTTCATGCTGACGCTCCTGGGTGGGGGAAATCAATCAAAGCTGGGCTGATCGCTATGGCAACAAACGCTATCAAGGTGAAACAGTCCAGCAGTCAGACTTTTTTCAAGGTCTTGATGGACAAGGAAGGGGACAACATTGAGAAGCTTTGCTCAGCAGAGGTTTGTGGTGTTCCTGATGCAGACGAAGATCCCAGTTCTGTTTGCGCCGCCAGCAAGGAGTACCTCACCATTTACTGCAACTTGTGCTTCGGGAAAGACTTTTGCAGTGCTTTCAAATTTGGTGAAGTGGAGATGGATATGCAGTCCTTATGTGCAGCATGCATATTCCTCGCGGCTGCTCGCTACACAGCACTTTTGTTGACCAATGTGAGCAAGGTTGCGAGTCGGAACTCTGGTGACTCTGGTGCTTTGGGATCCGGCGAGACCAGGGTGGAAGCTGCAAAGACTCTTTTGGACGTGCTTACCAAGTGGATCCAGGCAAGACAAATTCCAGTAAAACCTGTACGGACCGTATGGACGATTGTTAGTTATTAGACTATGGACTGTTCCATAGGTTGAAACTTTTTTTGCTATGTTTTGTCTGAGCTAAAATGCGTGTATATTCCTAGCCTATAGGCATAATATAATAGTAATAATGATGACGTATTTATGTATTGTATATGTCCTGAATATATAGTATAATATATAATATATACATATATGATATATATATTTTTTTTTCTGATGATATTTGATATATGATATCATTTTTCTTGTAGCAATAGGCATAGGCAACAGGCTATAGTCTAAACATAGTAGAATATATTTGTTCACAAGTTTGCACCTTGCACCCTAACAGTTTAACAGGTGGCATCTAATGCTCGCGAGCATATCACAAGCGTTGAGGGAAGCACGGTCGGGATCATCAAGGAGAACATCGTCAAAGTAATTGAACATGCAGAGGGAAAGCTCATTTCTTGCTTCACTCTTATCCGTGGGGATATGGAGGCCTTGGCTACAGATTTGGCTGAGAGACTTCAGAATACCGAGCTGTCGAATGTGGTCGATTCGAAGCTTGAAGAAGAGGAGGTGACTGAGGAGCTTGCCCAAAGCTTGTTCGACAATGTTGTGTCAGGGAAGGCAGGCCAGGAGTATTACATCGCGTTCAACAAGTGGCGGGCCTTGAGAAACTTGGCTGATAAAATTTTGAGCGAGGCTCAGACTACACTAGGCAATGGTCCTTCTGATTTTTGTCCTCGCAGCACGGCAGCAGTCAAAGACTGTTTGTCAAGCATTCGTTCTATTGACATGTCACAGGCTTCAGTGGCAATAGCCAACCTAACAGCTGTGACAAGTATTAAGAGGCCTCTTCAACCAGGCGAGACGCGAAATGTTCTCACCAACAAGTGCTTGAAAGGCTTTGCAAGTATGAATTTGAAACCCTCTAAGGGTTTGTGGCATGCACTTGAGAAGAGTGCCACGCAGGCAATATTCACCCAGTTCAAGCAAAGCATCCAGGGTGCTAAGGGAGAAGCCAAGTCTTAAGTGACAATTTTTTGTTCCACAGTCGTTTAATTGTTTTGGCAATCATGGATAGAAACACCCTATGTTTAAAAAAATGGTTGCCCTCATCTTCTCTCCCGTGCTTCAATTTAGGAAGCTAACATTATTGAGAGCAACCTCAAATCTAGCACAGCATACCGCATACCATTCTTTTTCAGCAAATGCAGCCAAACAACAGTTCCATGGATTGGAAGGCTTCTCCAAAGCAGCCAGCTACGCGCTATGGGTTTGTGGCGCTTGTGGGAAAAAAGGATGATTGCAAGCGATGAACCACCTACGATACACAAACGATAGCTCAAACGATAGCTCAAACGACACATATTGTGGCAAAGCGCTGTGGCAAACACTTTTGCCACAAGATTGCCACACGGTCGTGTCAACGATAAGCAAACGTTATCTTTAACGATACCTGAAACGAAGGGCTCACGTTGTCCCAACCCTTATGCAAATCATGGTGGGGTTCCCTCCCAAGAGTCATAATCATATGATCAGTCATCTGAATTGTGTGACGTCCAGGTGGATTTGAATAACAACAAGCAGAACCGGGACTACTTTGGTAGACCTGATCGATTCTAAAGAGTAGATGTCTCTCATGCAAGCTTCAAGAGGCAGCAACCCACAAAGTCTGCCACCAACACCATATTATACCATATTACCCTCTGCAAAGCACAGCGTGAACTAAGGGATCGACCTCACTGTTCCTCAGTTGAGGGACGTGGAGCACAAAAGGCACTAAACTGACTGGTTGACCTTGATGTGGTTGCAAGGAGACTCGACAGGACAGCGAGCTTCAAATCAAACATACGATGTGCAACGTGCTTCCTTCATCTTCCTTCATGCGGTTTGCTAGCGTCCAATTTATCTGGACACATTGACACATTGCGATTCAAAGGTCTTTGCCATTCACATGTCAATAATTTATGTCAATTCAGCTAAGTTGCCGGTGACTCCAGTCCTTTTCCTGCTGGAACAGGAGACATGCCTGGTTGATAGTGCTTTGCTTCCACGCCCGGGCAGCTGCCACCAAACATTTGCAAACAGTGAACAGTTACACTGAAGAATATGATTCACTTTGCCCTTCTGGAGTGACTGTCACCCTTTTAGCATCGGGCACTAGAATCCCTCTGAGGTCCGGACCTGCCATTCTTGTCAATATACCCTAAGCATGGATGGGTGCAAATCTTTCAAAACGGCGAAACGAACCATATGAAGAACCCTTCAAAACTTGGCAAAGAACTCATGATGTCTTGCATGCTGATAGACGGTGCTCCAGCAATCCTAATCACAAGTCCTTCCGAGATACTTTTTGATTTCAGAAGCCTAAACCCAAAATACCCAATTCAAACCCTTGGCACTGTATATAAATCATAACCAAGAGAAGCAGCAAGTGCACAAAGAGTTTTCGGTTGATGAATCCTATAATACTGTACTTACTTTGTCGGAGTTGCCCTAGAATGGAATTGAGAGATAAGTGTCACTAGCTAGCCAAGTGTTTGATATATAATGTTAATGTTAGTTAGCTGCCACACAAACAATTATGCAGCATGCAGGACACTGCTGGCTTTTCAGTTCTGACATGTTGCTAGTTCCAAACGAGTTCAACTTGCTACCCGCAGGTGATGAACTACTTCCTACAGAGTCAGAGAAAAGCCCAGGCCTCTCTCACCTCTGAGTCGGCTCAAACACGGGGGTCGATTGAATGTCTGACAAACGAGAACCTCGACAAGTTTAGTTCCTACGTGGCAAAGTCGCTGCATGAATTCTTGGCTGTATCTTCATACGCATCCCGTCTAATGTACATCCAACTTTTTCTATCTTCATCTATCTACATTTTATCCTGCTAAGTGACTCTTGGCCAATCCAAAGTCAACAATGTAGACCCGGGTGCTGTCTTCCTTGGCTTTTCTATGTGCAGAGGAACGAAGGATGAACAATCACTCACAGCTTAAGCATCCTCCTGACTCATAATGTTGCCTGCTAAATATTCACTTCTCACACGCCGCTTTGGGTCCGAGCCTGCTGCTTGTGGCAATGCTAAGGCTCCCACACGTAATCCCATTAAAAAGTTGTGGGGCCTCTAGCATTGCGGGCTCTACAAGATCTCGAGACTTGGAAGAGACTCGTTTGCCTCCTTTCATCTTGTGTTTATCACAGAGTCTCAAGGCAATCCAACACAACAAAGTCAGGATTGGATAGTGCAAACAAGCTGCTTGATGTCGCGGTACAAGAGTCCGCAATTGTGCACATACTCCAAGCGGTCAATGATCCTACATCACAATCTTTGAGCGGTCTTTGAGTCATGCAGCATGCGCAACTTCCCCCAATCTGATGCAATTAGTAGGAGTTGACAGCTGCAACATGCTGCAGCTCGTCTGGTATCTAATCAAAGCACTCACAAATGCTCACAAATCACACAAAATATCGTAAATATCATAAGAATACTTCTGGCTTCGAGCGTGTCTTTTTGCTGTGAAGTGGCTGGGTTGCAAGCATCAAGGTCGTTTTGAGACTGAAACGCTTGCCTTAGGAGGCTCAGAAACCTCTCTTCAGCCAACATGCTTGCAAGGCATTTCGTCTGACTATGGCATCTATAATATCACCCGTAGTAGCATGTGGTTGGACAAAACAAACTAAATGCAGTGTGGTGCAATGGTTTCATGGCAGTAATGCAATACAGCGTCTCTGTCTGATGCAGTCTCCCCAAAGGGATTAATCCTGCATGAGGCAGCCACAAAATATTGATTCCTTGTGTAATTAGTAATTAGGTTGTTTGTATGAAGCCGTAGATTCTATAAAGGATCACAGTACTTTTATAGGCGTGAAGGCACTCTAAAGAAACTATGTTTGAACAAGAGTGCCCAACTGCTAGAAAGAACGGATTCCTTATGAAAATGATTCTCCCAAAGACCGATTCTCGAAGTTGTTTCATACTTATGTAGCTAGATTTGCTTTATCTCGGCAGATTTCAGGAAAGCTTGTTTCATCACATGAGGTGTACATTCATGATGACATGCAACAGTGCTAAAAGAGTATACTCCCGCAGCCCACTGGACCCTGTTCAAAGCAGATCCGTTACTGTACAATATTTGCGATGCAAGGCAGCCAAAGTTGCAGTGTTTGAAGTATGCATCTAGGGATGGGCCCAGGAGATCCATCACCATGAAGTTGTACTCCCCTTGTGTGCCAATCCATCCTTGGAAGATGCAAAACTCCGCCAAATCATCTTTGTCTGCGCATATGCGCACGAACCCTGAAAGTTTCAAGAGCACCTGACGCCACTCAGTCGCATAACAAGCTTTTTTGTTCTGCTCGTCACCTTTTGTTTACATGATTGAACGGTACAGTAGGAGTCCGTGACAAAAAAAATGACAAACGTTCTGGATTGCTCGTTTTTTTTGCAGCAAACGATTGCATATTGCAACTTTCCAGCTGTACTCCTCCTGGAGCCAAGTCTCTTATGTGAGGCGCCTGCACAGTGTTGCAAAAATTGCTTTTTGACTGTCAGTCCACCCTAGAGGCTACGAGGCTTTAAATAGTACGATTTGACCCATGTACATCCAGTGGACGCATTTAGAGTAGAGCCTTGCACCCCCTGCCCCTCGGCACACCTCTCCGCTTTGCAGCCCCAATGCTTCGTAGAATTTTCCCTCGCCGAGCCTCAGCAGATTTCGAAAGGCTTTTAAAAGCACAACGAAGCAGGACCATGGAGATGTTTTTCCTCCTCAGGAGATGACTTCTAATTTTGGAACACTTTTAGAACAAACACACACAATATAATATATATATATAATGTCTGTTCTGGTGCTCTGCAGCTGAACTTACAGAAGCAAGCATGCATTTGCCATATGTGCACTATGTAACGTCCATCTTGTATTATATAATACCATGCTGATTAAAGAGTTCAATGGACAGTGACGTTTCCTAAGATTCACAAAGAATATACAGTATCATGATTGAGCGATATTCCAATACGTGACAGGCTAGGCAAAGAGGATGAGTGTTATCAGCTTTCAAGATCCCTGAACCCTAAGACCCACGCAATTTATTACCCTTCTCAGCAAGCTGCCATTCCTGGAAAAGACAAATGCAACAAGAACCAAACATGCACAAGACTGCCTTACAAACACGTACCTTGAATCATTAAATGTGATCTGAAACCGATGTATTTGATGACTGTTGTTGTGTTAAAGTTTCCACTCAAGATCAAATCAATTTTGAAAGGATACTGAAATGAAACTAAAACACTATGGGAATATTGGACCACCGTTTTAGGGTTTCTGAGGCCACCACAACCTTCACTGCGACATTGTCACCTGCCAAATTTAAACTGCCGGTCATGATTTGGCAGTGGGACAGCGAAGACTCTTTAACCAGTTCGGCATCTGTTTGCGGCCGCGGTTTGGTGCTCTGATTTGCACTGAATCCCTCATAAACAACTGGCCTGTTCGTTCGTCAATGCCAGCGTAGACTTCGCTGTATGATCCAGAACCGACCTCCCCTTGTAGCCTATAGCGATCTGCCACCTCAGCTGAGAAATCGTGGCTGTGGAGAGAGACTCAACTGACCTGTCTCCAAATGAGGTCACAGCTCTTGAACACTTGTGGCTACATAAAATAGGTCCTCATCGGTTCTGTCGCTGTGTCGAGCTTCCATGTTAGCTTGGTGCCCAACCAATCGTGGCAAAGGCGGGGGATGTATGGAGGATGCCCCAGACTCCTGGCAACGAAAGACGCTAGTAATGACAAAGGGCATCGCCACGAACGGAACAAGGAGCTAGTAATAGCTAGTAGCTCCTGGCATTACTAGTAGAAAGGACGCTAGTAGTATTGACTGCTTCTTCTTGCGCAGCCCTGCCAGCACAGAGTGCGTTTGTACCCTTCCAACGTCGACAGGGAGTTTGTTGTGGAAGCTCCTGCTTCGTAGATATTTTGTGGGATCTTCAAACCGAACCCTCTTTCCAAAGTATTCATCAACCTTCCAATCTGCCATGAGGGTGACCTTCACCCCTTCCTTCCCCTGCCGTGTCTGACCTTGTGATGACATCAGTCGCCACTATCCACCAGAATGAGGCGATGAAACACAAAAGACTATATGGTACAATAGCTTCTTGCTACTAGTACAAATGCACTTGTAGAGGCCATGCACTTGTTGCTGCTAGGCGATGCCAGGCGACACGAAACCAGAAAATGAGCCCACCTCCTCGGGTTCCTCTTCTTCAGTCTCTTCTTCAGACTCTTCCTCTTCTCCTGCTGGATTCACTCTAAAGTCTAAAGCAACAAAGCCACAAAAATGACATGTGACATGCCAAGCCTCGAATCAGTCTCCACAAAGTTCTGTCACCTTTAATTTAAGTAACACGGTTCAAAGGAGAACAGTCCTGCAGCTGTGGTGTAGCTGGACTTCACCAGAGACATGGCAGAGGTGGCACCGAATGGATCTCAGATTTGCTCGGAGACCCAGGAAAATCGGCTGGCCCGCCTGGCCCTTGTCTCAAATCCCAATCCAGCTGTGGTTTGCAACGCTCCAGCAAGCTCAGAAAGTGTGCAGTAAATTCAAGTGACAACTCAAACAGCTGA